GGTGGCTCAAGTGGTTAAGACGCTGAACTGCAGGCTGTGGAAGGTCAGTAGTTCAGCGGTTCAAGACCCGGGTGCCGCAAGACAGGGTAAGCTCCTGTCTCTAGTTAGTTCCAGCTCCTGCCAACCTAGCAGTTCGAAAGCAAGAAATTGCAAGTAGATAAATAGGGACCACTTCGGTGAGAAGGTAACAGCGTTCCTTGGTGTTTAGTCATGCCGGCCACATGACCATGGAAACGTCTTCGGACAGCGCTGGCTCTTCGGCTTTGAAACGGAGATGAGCACCGCAACCCTAGAGTCGGACTCGACTGGCTTTCGAGCAAGGGAACCTTTACCTTTAAAGGACTTTGAGTCTCAGTTTGAAAGCTGCGATCCAGGCTCTAGACTCCCAGGAATATTGGGCAAATTCCAACCCCTTTCCTGATGCCGGCTCTCGTCCAGGGGCCTTTCCATCAGCTTTGCCGCGCTAGCAGAGCTAATTGCAAGGGAGACTCTGGGTCACGGCGCGAAGCAGGGGGCTGCAGGGCGGAGGAGGGGCTCCTGGAGGAAGCCTTGTCTGGTCTGATGCAGGGAGCCTCGGTGATAGCAAAAAAGGGGAAAGATCTCCTCTGGCTGCCCTGCAGCCGGAAGGGGGCGTTGGGGGGGAGGGCTGGCTCTGCAGCCCTGAAGAGGGGCGGAAGAGGTCCTAGGCCTGGGCGAAGGGCTGTAGTTTCAGGGCTCCGAACGGAAGATGGCCACACACACTCCCCCCCTCCCCCCTGTCTGCTCTGCGGGCAAGGCGAACAGCCCCAGCTGAGGGCTGCAGCGTGCAGAAGGTGAGGGCTGGGGGGGGGGGAGGAAACACTGGTTGCTTGCCAACCTCCAGGTGGGGCCACTGGAGCGCTCCCAGAATTGCAGCGGGTCTCCAGTGCCCCTGGAGAAAACGACTGCTTTGGAGGGCAGACCTCCGTGGCATTGCACCCTGCTTGGGGTCCCTCTCCTCACGAGCCCCACCCTCTCCAGGCTCTAACCCCCCCCCCCCAAAAAAAAACACCAAGGCATTCTCCACCCTGGAACTCAAAAAATTAGCCATGCTACAGAGACGGAAGATAGGCAGATTTTCCGGGCCCCCCCATGGTCCCCCTCTGTGCCTCCTGCAAAGCAAGGCCACTTCGTAGATGGGAGTTGTGCGGCTGGGCGGAGTGTCTGGGCAGATATGCGCCTGTTTGAGTTCAGAGGCTGCTTCAGGTGGAGTGCTGGTGCCCCCTGGCGGTGACGGCAGTGGCGAGTTCCGATCATGGGATCTCCCCAGCTTCTTCCTTCTTTCCTGGGCTCCTGTCCTCTGACCTTTGCTGTCTGCCTCCCTCCTCCTCCTCCTGCAGTGAGCTTTGAGAGCTGCACGGGAAGGAGCCACGTGCCCTACGTGTCGGATGACAGCCACTTCAAAGTGCATGGCGGTGTGGTCTCGGTCAAGCGGTCTCTGCACCTCCGCAACCATGAATGGAGCTTTGGCATCTTCGCCCCGGACTCGGCTGGCAAGCAGCACTCTGCCAGAGTGGTCGTCAGAAGGCGCCACCATGACCCTCCGCATCGGGACCCCCCTCCCCGAGAGGTAGGTGTGCCGGCTCCTTCCTTGTTAGCCGGGCAGGGGGCCGCTGGGCCCAGGAGCCTCCCCCTGGTTTGTTCAGCCGGCTCTCTGCCTCCTTGCCTCTCCAGGAGCCCTCCGAGCGGAGTCCGGGAGAGGTGCTGACCTTCCCAGAGTCTCGTCCCGGCCTGAAGCGGCAGAAGAGGGACTGGGTCATTCCCCCAATCAATTGTCCGGAGAATGAGAGGGGTCCCTTCCCCAAGAAACTGGTGCAGGTAAGCTCCACGGCTTCTCTTCTCTCTGCCCCTTCCCCTAAGGGAAGGTTTTTCTTGGGAGGGGGGGGCCCTGCCAAGTGGTAGCCGTGTCGAGATCACTCCGGCCTGAGCCCCAAGTTGACAGTGCCTTCAGATGCAATGCTGGGACACCAGAACAGTCCGTCAAACTCCTCCTGGCTTCCCAATGAGATCTTAAGGGGATCCAGCAAGATGTAAGTATTT